GCCTATTAAGATACCTTCCCATGTGTTTTTGAGCCATCTCCCTTCAACTATATCAGCCAACCTCTTTACCTTCTACCTTTTAGCAACTTTTAGCTACACCTACAATAATCCCGCCACAGTTTCTTCAGAAATTGCATAGTCTAATTGCTTTTAATCTTTTTGCTTTATGGAAAGACAAGAGCTTTGTGATAAAATGCATAAACACAGTCAGCCAGGCTTGCTATCATTATCACTATCCCTAACACTATCATTTATGCTTTTATTTCCACGTGTTTAGATTATTTTAATACATATTATTACAAATTTTACTTTTATCTAGCAAGTGACATGCTTTAGGTTTGAGTAGTTTTCCACCCATATACATAGTTCCACTTCATTTCTGTGCTGTCATAAGTCCCATAGTTCAGCTGTCTGCAATGTTGTGCGCTAATCCGCTGTTTTATTAAAGGATTATTTCAGCCGCTTGTAAGAATATTTGTATCACTGATTAATGAAAACGTCATCTTGTTTAATCAGTCCTCAGCAAGAGGTGTGTGTGTGCCTGTGTCTGTGTGTGTATGTGCGTGTTTGTTCCTCCTAAGGAGCCAGCTGCTGAAGCTCAAGGCAGAAATGTGCTAACTGATCCAAGAACCCCCTCCCCAAAAAAATCACACCCATCCCCCCCCCTTCCCGCCTCTAGCCCCCAAACACCTTAAACCTCCATTTTATCCTGTTTACAGAGCCCACAGTTTCACGCCACCACCATAAACACGCACACGGGACACACACGTACAAATCCAGTATACATAAAAGTTTTAAAAAAATACAAATCTGATCCAAAGTCACGATCCTGTAAATCAGAATATACTGTAAGCTAACTACAAATAGTCTTTACTCAACGCTCCCTTTTTATCCAGCAGCTGATATTATATTTATGCTCTTGAGAATCTTTCCCCATGTTGATGAATGTGTGTTTACGTGGCACATTTTGAGCGCTCATAGCGCCGCAGCTGTGATTGTGATCTACTGTTTATCTAAGTCTATTGGAGGAAAACCTTTCATCTGTGCTGCCACAATAAAATCAAACTCAGCACTAGACTCAAACTGCTGGACAAACACAATAAACTCTCGACCACAAAGGAATCTCCTAACATAGATCCTAACAGGAAAGTCGGGATCTGCCGTCACACTGGAGATTAGTGCAAAGATTAGTCTGTGTTTATTTAGCTTCATTTTTACATGGAAAGGCATGAAAGACATTAATAACATATTTGCATGAGTCTGCTTTAAGTGCTATGACACACCTGGTGATGATAGATGATTAATTTTTCCCTCTGAACCACTTTAAAGTCTGGTGCTAAAATAGGACGATATATGTATATTATTCTCTGTGGTTCTACTTTTATTCCTAATAAGATTTTAATTACTGTTTATTTTTTTCTTCTAAGACTGTGTTATCCTGCAAATCCACTACAAACCACAAATGGAAGTACGGCAGGAAACCAGTAAGCTTTGACAGAGAGCAAAAAGATATTTTGATGTTTTTCTGCTCTTGCTAAAAACCCCATTGGCTCTTAAATAACCACATCCTCCCATCCTGGCAGAGTTTTACAATCGCATTTACAGTGCAAAAGGAAAAGTTTATTGCACCTAATAATCTTTATTTGGACCTGTTCAAATAGGACGGGCTCGCATGTATGGCATGTGTGGGCCTGATGGAGACCATCCACCAAGACCAAATACTCATCTGCTCCCCGTCACATCCCTCATCGTGGCAGCCATTCAGGCAAGCTCGTCTATCAGAACAAAGACCTTGCAGCTCTACCTCTTGTAACCCTATACAGGGACATGAAACGTTGACCTTTGATCCCACGTGTGATACAAGTGACAGTGTTGTCCCACAGGTCAGCAGTAAACGTGCCAATCGCATTCCCAGTCTCCTCTGCAGCAGCACTCCTGTGGCATGTTAGCACTCGAGCGGCTAAAACACTTCTGTCATTTGTTTTTGTGACTCACTAAATACAAGTCTCTGTGTTGTGATGAAAGTATTAACAGGATTTAGTTTGTGGGGGGGCGGGGTGTAACTAAGCTAACTTGTAAATGTTAATGATAGCCAGAAACATAATATATTTATTATTCTTAATACTATGCTACAAAAAAAAATGCTACTGCATCCTCAAATCGGCAGTTTTAGAAATTTAAGATAGTTAAAGAGGTGGAGCACATAACAACACTGAGCTTCAAAGATTGATCAAATCAAACGATTTGGGTTGAGACAGAACAAATAAATAAACAAATTCAGCAAATAATGTGTTACTCATAAGTTTTTGTAAACATATAATTTTTTTTTCACACTGTGCAAGTTTTTACACATGTAATGTAAAAGTATTAGTGGCCACTAATTTCTTCTTTGTCTATATTTTCCTATATTTGTTCATGTTTTATTCTCACAAAAATCATACATTCTCTAAATGCATTAAAAAATCTATCAACATTGCTCTTGGTCAGTTGTTTTTCCCCAGACGTTACAACTTTGCAGCCTTTTTGCAAAATGTGATAATAAAAGCAAGTCTCATTTTTCTCCTTAATATATAACAGCCCACGTATCCACTGCTGCTTTATCCCTGAATAGAAACTATTTATTAGCAAGAAGGCACAAAAACCAAACAGACATAGTTAGAGCTAACTCTCCTATGTTAACTCCAACCAGGCAACTTAACGCTCTGTTTTGTTCCATATCAAGATTAACAGGTGGAAGATTCGTATGCATTATATTATACTTGTTAATATTATGTGGTTTGTAAATGAGTTAAAATAAGCGACCGTGTCACTGTTTCTGAAGGATTTTTGCTAATGATCAGGATGTTTTTAATGCTGTTGGAACAAAAATAAAAAACTATTCATCTTAGAAAAACTTTTATAGCCTAATTATAAAATAGCTTTAGTAATTGTGTGATTAAGGCAGAGCATCCATACAAATAATAAAACAGGCATCTCTCTCTCTATGACTGAAAGCTTGTAACTGAATTTTGTGTCACTTGGGTCATAAAACAATAAAAGAAATGTGTTGTTTGTGCTTTCAAAGATAAGTAAATTCCTCTGAGGTAATTATATGTTTGTCTCTTCACAGCTCGGTTTCATCTCCCTGCTGGTAACGGCAGTTGTATAGAGTGACTCTGTAAACACTCTCTCAGGTTTATAGCTTCCAGCAGGCCGCAGTCCTGCGAGCACTTTCTCAGCCGGCCGCAGTGGTAAAGGCCTGTAAACTGCGGGGGAGAGATTTCAGGGTATGAATTGACAGGCAGTCTGTAGCTGTGCATGGTTTTATTACCGCTAATGGTGGTCGAAGACTGCACATGAGGGCGGGTGGGAGTTTTTGAACCATGTCCAACTCGTCTGACAGAAAAGGTGTTACGTTCTGGCATGAAGGCCAGTTTCAGTTTACCTGCTCCTGGATTCAATACAGGAAAGGAGACAAAAACATGTATAATCACATGGATGCTTACACACATACAGACACACGTAACGCACAGACTAACTTCATAGCATCTGCACCCCTATTACATGCTACATACATGCTACACTCGTAGCCGATTTCCTCCAGATGAAGCTGGAAACCCTCCATCAGATCATCAAAGTTTTTCAGAAACATGTGTCTGAGCTTTATTTGCTCACTTTGTTGCAGGATTCCTGCCACTAGGGTTGTTAATGTGTTTCACCTATGAGTATGTAATTAAAAAAGTAAGCTATTCTGAAAAAAATGATATGGATTATATTTTTACCCCAAAAGTATAAAAATAAATAAATGAAGAGGAGAAAAATTCACGTGAAGAAAGAAACTGGCACGGTTAACTTTGATCATCAAAAAATGAAAAATATTCAAATCTACTGAAAGCTTCTTATCTATGATATTGATCTAGTGCTTTGTATTATTGTAAGATGAAACTCATTCCAGTTACTGATGACTGTGTTGGTTTAGCATTTCCATAAACAACATGCTGATTGCAGTTCGTTCCCAGAATCAAACCCAAATCTTTGATCAACATCTGTAAATTCTGAGAAAGCGTTCAAGAAACTCCTCGGTGAGAAGGAGCAGATCTTGACCCACTCGTGCACACTGCAGTCATAATTTATCACCCAATGATTTAGTGAATAAAACAACCAAAAGAACATTTGTTTCTTGGCGATATATGTGGTCGTTTTTTTGTAGTTGATGATGATAATCTACTTACAATAGAATTTCCTATCCTTGACTACATTTTAATTAAAAACAGCAAAAGACTCACAGAAGTTCATCACTTAATGGATCTACAATTTTTCTTAAACCAGGTTTTCCTCTGTCCTAACAACTGTACAAACATGAAGTCAGCTAATGGTTTCTTCATGGAGAAAACAATGAAAGTCCCAATAAAGACATGAAGCAGACGTCATGGACAGGAGCCCAGCCAGATGACAGGGAGTCAGCAAGAGGGAAAAGGAGAAAGAACGACAGCCAAAGCGATGCATGGAGAAAAAAAGGCGGAGAGGGTGCAGCCTGTATACCAGCAAACAAATACACAACAGGCAGCTGACATATAAAACAATATTAGTCCAAATGCAGAGAGAGCTGCTTCCAGCAATAATATGCAGTGACTGGTGAGAAATGCTTGAACTCTGTATGCATGTGTGTGGCAGATGGCAAGTAAAGGTGAAGAGAATACACTGAAAAATGGAAGAGGGGGAAGGAAAAGTACAACAAAGAAGATTAAATAGACACAATGAAGCAATGAAAGCGAGAAAGGCGGAAAAAAATAGGCAAAATTAGTGAAGAGGCGAAGAGAATAGCCCTCAGACTTTCTCCTTGACTCGCAGCCAAACGCATTTACAATCGAGGAAGTTTCTACTGACTGGCTGCCTCTCCCTCCTTCTCCTGCCCTGGCTTCCCCTCCCTCTCCTCTCACGCTGGGACCCCCCCCTCCCCCCTCCCTCTATAGAAAGTGGGACTCCGTCTCCCTGCTCACTTTCTCTCGCCCGTCTGAAGATTTAACACAGCGCAGAGCGAAGCTGGCGGCCACAGTCGTGCCCTGGATTGTAACAGAGAAAGAGCGCAAGCCCTCCTGCAGCCTGCAAGCCCACCACCATGGACGTCAAACTGATGGCACTGCTGGCTCTGCTGGCCGTGGCCACACATGTTCCGACCTCCAACGGTGAGTCCAGAGGGACAGCAGCCCCTTTAATTTAAACGCTTCAGGAACATTACTGACAACATCATTTAGACAGGTTTTGGCTAATTTAAACGTTTAAGATTCTGGAGCTTCCGACATTTATATTTTTCTTATTGGCTATTTAGAACAGCATTTTTCTGGATTAAGTTTATGTTTGTTAGGTTATGTCAGCATTAATTTTAATTGTTTATGATTGATCGGTTGCCGTCGTGGTAAATCCCTTATTACAAGACTGTGAAATTCCAGTTCTTCGATCACCTGCTTTCCTTCTACATCGATAAATTTCTAGACAGAAAATTGGGTAACAGATTGAAATGTTATTAGAATTTTTTTTTAATACATTAATTAAATAGCTACAGTATAACTTAAACTCATGGAGAGTAAATGAAGTACAAAATAGAAGCTTCTCGGTTATTGTTTTTTCGGACAGGTGCCGAATTATTGCGTTTTGCTTTGCTAGTTTTTTAAAATTATTATTATTTTGCAGTTTGTATTTGGGTTTGTGGAAACAAACATATATTTTTATACATAATTAGAAAATTAAACTTGAATGAAAATATTTCCCCACTGCAAGTTCTTATGTGGGGCGCTAGAAGAGAATAAGTAGAGAATATACTGATATTAATCAAAATCTAAAAAACAGAAAAAGCCTTTTTAAACAAAATGTTTATAAGCATTTGTTTCAGATTTTGGGCAAATATCTTATCTTATATAGGTGGATTCCTGCCACCGCATTGACCCCACATGAACAAGACGGGGTGTTGAGTTTCCTAGCAGGATTTATCCTAAGCGTATTGTTTCTGCTCCACTAAGAGCTCAGATTGAATATTCAAGAGTTAGACCTAGACATGTGTATTTGCCTTTTCTCACTGCATCCTTATAATTAGTTTCTAATTAGGGATAAATCAGTGGTGGACACATGCTTCTGGCTCCAGTGCTGCATGCTGCATAATGATCCCTTAGTTTGCATGAGAAAAGACCCTGAATGGGTGCGAATCATTAGAGCGATATTACTGAGGATTTGGGCATTTGTGACAGGACATTTGCTGTTTCTTTATGAAAAAAAAGAATACATTGAACCTTGTAAAAAAAAAAAAAAAGAGCTTTATTATTGATGCACCTGATTTTAAGATTTCAATTACATTTAATTATATGTTGCCAAATCACAACAGCATTTGCTTTATATTGTATGGTTTGAGTAATCTGGACATTTACATTTGTACAGGCAGGGCATGGCTGATGTACAGAATCAGCTCTGTGAAATTTTGTAATTTCTTAAAGCACACTTTAAGCTTCAGTTTTCAATGCATTTTATTCCCATTCAAAGCCCTCTATAATGATGCAATTAAAGGCTATTCGGCTGGTTTCTTTTTAACTTTTATTGCCAGCCAGGTTTTCCTTCATCCTTTCCCTCATTTTTTTAACAACCCTCATCGTTTCTTTCATTTGAAAACTTTTAAGGAAGCATTTAGTCTTATTACTGTGCATCTGTAGTCCTCGGGGGCACCGACAAGCCTACACAAACTCACATTGTAATCATTTTAAGAATGTACCTCATAGAGGCTGCTGAGGCCGTCTGAGCTGCAGAGTGCTTTCATAAAAGAGGTGAATATTGGAAATTGAATGTTGAGGACCCTTCTCCTTTAGAGTGGCTTGGCTGAATGCTCCAGGAGTGAAAAGCTAAACTTCTGCATGCGTGTGTGTGTGAGAGTGTGAACGAGCGGGTGGTCAGAAAGGGCTAATCTCTTTTTAATGAGGATGTTGTTCACAGACATAGCAGGTAAACTTATACATTCCCATGCTTTGTTAAGATTTGTTACAGTAGATTAAACATGCCTTTAATTTGTCCAACGAGGTGAAAGGTACGTTTAATCGCAATCCAAATGAATCAGAAACTGCTGTGCTTGGATTTGATTTGAGTTGATGTAGGTATTTAAATCCTCACTTGAACCAAAATGACCCTTTCTTTTGTTAACGGGCAATGAAACGAAATATTAGACACCGCTGCTCATTTCATCCACTGTGATCTGAATAAGTTTTCTTTGGCAAGTTAACGGAATCATTTATCTTAAAGTCCAACGTCTGCCACATTTTACTGCCCTGCAGAGCTCCACATAAGTAATGCTGAATGTGTCTCTGTGTTGGCTGATTTCTCCTTTGTTCACAAAAAGCTTGTTAGGCTTTTCTTGCTCTTACATATTGAAATAAGGCAGGTGCAGCTTTGTCTGTGGATTTATCTTTGGATCCCAAAGCAAATTTTTCAGTTTTCAAATTCCTCTTCCTAACTCCTTCCTAAATATATAGCTGTGTGAATGCCAGAGCTTAAGAGTGCAGTGTTGCAGAATTGGAACTGTCAGTACTTGTTAAGCTTTTTAACAGCCTGGTCTCTTGAGATTTTGTTGCATTTTCTAAGCTTCATGCTAATTTGTAATCTTCCTTGTCCACTGTTTGTAGCAAAGCCCATCAGTCTGGTTGAGCGCTGCTGGTGTCGATCCACTCTCAACACGGTTCCCCAGCGCTCCATCAAAGAGCTCAAGTTTCTCCACACGCCCAACTGCCCCTTCCAAGTCATGTAAGTAGATGAGTCTCATGTTGCAGGGGGTGATTAACTTCAAGAAATGTGTTTCCTGGTGTAATTATCTGATGACTGTTTGAATGAGTCTGTCACTCGTGTGGCCTGTTTAAGTGGATTCTTTTCAGTGTGTCAAGGTTCATTTTTTAGGTTTTAAAAAAGCAGAATCGTATAAAGTAACCATTTTGTGATAGATTAGATTGTACTTGATATCTGTGCTGAGCTTTTGCAAGTGAACTGTTCTCCTCAAACTCCCAGACATACAGTCACAATAACCAGATGTGGGAAAACAAAAAAACAATATAGGAACACAATAAAAATGTAAAATGACACTGGCATGCATTACCTTCTCTGTTTAATGAACACTACAGATTCATTTATGACTGTATTAGTGTAATGCCAGTAATAACAGCGCACACATATCATTCAAGACCAGTTCATATCAGTGAGTACAAACTACAAAAGGGCTGTGTTTGAAGCGTAGGCTATTTTTGGGGGTCTATCTAAGCCAATAGTCTTCTTTAACAAGAGGAAACAGAAATAAATGTAATACACTGCTGATGTGTGAGGTATGTGTGAGGTATGGTGTTAATATCCTTCTAGGCTTTCCTGAGTGAGCGGGCTGACTTTAAAACAACACAATCCACTCAGAGAGAGGAAAGCGCTAACGCTCAGAGCTCGAGGGGGCCATTTGTGTTTGGCAAAGGAAGCAATAATTAAGGGTCAAAGTGATTACCTTTGTATTTCTGCTGACCCCTTGTGTCCCTCATCTACTTTTTCTTTTTTCATTTCCCGCCTGAATCTGGTCAGCAACGTTGAGAATAATTTCACTGGTCTGGAACACATTAACAAAAAAGAACCTTCCTTAATTTGTTAGCTATTGAAAATCTGGACGGCAGAAGCCTCAAGGCCAAAAGGCTAAAGGACTGGAGGCTTCTTCCACAAAGAAAGGAGGGGGCTGGTGATGGTTGGAAGGGGTAACCGAATGGCAAAAGGTCAGGAAGGACTACCAGTCCTGTGGCTAGGCTACAAACTCCCTCTAACCTCCCTCCAGAAAACTGCCAGAGGAGTCAAGAAGTCATTCAGACAAGGAGCCCGCAGAGCGGCGCTCCGATATCTCTATTGAGGAGCATGAAAGAAAGTCGGTAACATAACACCCTCTTTCACCCCACAAGAAACTCCCCCCCCCCCCCCCCCCCTTTCTCCCACTGTGTGCCCTCATCCCTTCACCCTAGCTTGACGACAACCCCTCCAAACCAGGCCGCCACGCTGTTGGTATTAACTTGCTGTGAAGTAATTACTACCTGCTGCTTGTGGAACTCCGGCCCCCAAATTCCTGCCAAGTCAATTAGGGTTTAGGTTCTCAGTTGGTCATCCAGACAGGCAGACAGATAAACAGGATGAAGTGAGAAACATCAAAATAACAGAGAGCTTCCGAGCTGATGAGCTGGCAACCTCTAATAAAACAAAAAGTGTGTGTGTGTCTGTGTGTGTGTGTAGGAAGGGGGGCGACCCCATGAGAAAAAGCAAACACAGATCCAGTTACGGAGCTGTTTGGCCTCCTGACATTTGAAGGATTCGGGATCAGGCTGGTGCTCCCGAATTGCTCTTTTAAGTTTGAGGGGCCATTTGCTCATCTGCCTCTAAATGCAGTGAGGAATAAGGGAGGTGGTATATCAGAGGGGCAAGCAAGAGAGGGGGCACGAATTGAATATGAAAGCAGTGTTTAACTTACAGAGATGTGTGACATGAGATGGAGGGAGGAGAACGGGGAGCAGCGAGACGCTACACCTCTGAGCTGTTAACTCTCATACATGACCTTTTGCCACTGAGGTGTGATATCCACATGTTTGGAGCAGGGTAAGACCCTGTTGCGTGCCCCTGCAATCACCCCATTGGGTCTGAAACTCACCCAGAGTCAGTGACTGACAACAGAACAAATCCTCTCCTAAATGTCTGGCTTAGCTCTCTAATAACAGACCAGACATCAGCACACTCTCTGTGACCGCCCTGCAGCACCCCTGAATCCTGAGGGGGAAGGAAAATTCAATATTTTGGAGTATGAAAGAAGAAAAATGTCTGTTTTTCTGAGTATTACAGTTGTATATTTTACCTAACATAAAGTGTTGAGGGTGAAGCAATGTTTCAGTTTCTGTTCAGGCTAATTTTTAGTGACTTCTAGTTTATTTAAATCTAAACTCATTTTAAAAATATGTTTAAAAACCCTCCACAAAAAAGACGTGTTAACATGTGCACCCAACAAAGTACCAGGAATAAAAATTTAAAGCAACATTTTTCTTTTTTAAGTTACACACATTGACATCTGCCTTGCCAAAAAAGACTAATATTTAAAAACTCTGTTTTCAAGAGGAGCGTAATCAGTGAATTACAGACAAAAAACAGAAACACAAATCAAATAAATAACCAAATCAGACTTAAACAGTAGTGGGATTTAAAAATATAGACTTATACTGTAAATTTCACCCTATACTACCAAAAAGGATTTAAGAGTGGTAGCGAACGTGACTGATTACTTAAACAAGCCTCTGATGTTGCACCTTTTAAAAGTTTTACATGAAACCAGCCTGATCAAAAGGACTTCCCACGTGTAAAGTTTGTGTCAGACTATGTGTGAAGATGTTTAGCATGCCGTGCAGAGACAGCTTTACAAGTCATACAGTGCGGTGTGATCTGCGATATCAGCCTCCCCCCTTCAGCCGTCCTTGAGCAGAAACAGCGAGCTGTGATTTTTCACCGCTGAGCAGACGCTGACAGCCTGTTATGCGTAGTAATCCTCCAGTTTGGAGCTTGGATGTGTTTTTAGATGTGCAGAGATTTTTAGAGCTTATCTGAGGTGTATCTGAGCTCAACCCCCGTAGACCTTTTAATCCTGGCATGTTTTGCTCATTTCACTTCTGATTTATTTAACAGCCGATAAACCATAAACAGCGAGGGGCTGTTTTTGTTCCCATTATGGTTAAAAAAGTGCTGTTTAGCTTTTAAAAATGCTTTAAGAGTTTTGTAGCTTTAGTAAAAAACTTACATTTACTGATTTATTTCCAAGAGACAAACTAAAGGTATATACATTGCTCTTAATCTATATTAGTCATAAATCACTAATATTAAGTAGTACAGCCAAGGAGCACCTATTTAAATGCTATGGTAAATGGTAAAAATGGCCTGTATTTATATAGCGCTTTACTAGTCCCTAAGGACCCCAAAGCGCTTTACACATCCAGTCATCCACCCATTCACACACACATTCACACACTGGTGATGGCAAGCTACATTGTAGCCACAGCCACCCTGGGGCGCACTGACAGAGGCGAGGCTGCCGGACACTGGCGCCACCAGGCCCTCTGACCACCACCAGTAGGCAGCGGGTGAAGTGTCTTGCCCAAGGACACAACGACCGAGACTGTTGGAGCCGGGGCTTGAACCGGCAACCTTCCGATTACAAGGCGAACTCCCAACTCTTGAGCCACGATCAGAATAAATGCTATAAGCAAGGATGTTAGGTTGTGCATCCCACTGAATAATAATGCTTGATTTGTTGTCATTGCGCAAGGACCGTACCCTGAACACAAGAGAAGCAGAAAAGGAGGCTGGATGAGCTTCTTCAGGCATCCATTAAAATGCCGGTCACACTTTGTTGAGGTTACTGAGAGGTCTTGTTACAGTTTGGTTAACCGCACAGCCGAAGAAGAAGATAAAGCCTCTGTACTGTACAACACTGCAGGATGTCAAGCTACACAAGAGGGCCAAATTTAAAACTGCAACCCTTACATGTCCTTGAAAGTGATTTATTGCCTCTGAGTTTGCTTTGGGCTTAAACACTTTGATTCCTCATTATCTCTGTTACTCCTCTTTTATGTGGAAACCAGGATGAGTGTGGAAAAAAAATGTACTGCAGAAGCAAATGTAAACATGCGGGAGAATGTGGCAATAAAAACCCATCGCACTCGTCTGCACCCCACTTTGAAAAACTAAAGTTGGGACAAGACAGTTTGGGGGATTTTGGGTTTTTTTTTTTCATTTTAAATTCTGGCAATGAGTAGTTTTTTTTTACTTGCTAAAGTAGTAGAGTTAATGCCAAATTATTGTTGTTTTTAAGCTGTTCTTTAGCTTAAATAGTTTCTATGGCTCTCCTTTTTTTTGCCTTTTTCACTTCCTCGGGCAGCTAGCTACCAGCATGTGCATAGGTAGACACATTAAGGGGTGTTTGGTTCCTCTCTCAGGAAATCTTGAGTATCAGAAACCTTATTTCCTGGATTCTGGTGAATTTTGTGGCACTAATTTGTACACATTTTTGCATCAGTTTCTGGTGGAGGTGTTTCTGGTAGTTGTTCAACATATAATGCAACAAAACGCAACAAGACTCAGATGCATTCTGTGCTGCTTTCAAATAACGTAACTTTTATCATTTAATATTATCCTTCCTGACATTACACACATCTATCCTCTGTCTTTAATCTGATTAAAGGTGGCACAAGTGATAAATTCCTTTGTTTTAGTTTATAAACCCCTGTTTATAATAGCTCACACAGATATCTTCCCCCCCCATATTCCAACCTTTGTGCACATTCAAACAACGTCAGACATATCTGTGATGCTTTTAAGGAATCAGCAGTGTTATTGAGTTTGTCTGAAAACAAGAAGGTCACGCAACATTTCCTTAAGATTAGAATCAGATTTGGCTTTATTGGACGTGTACACATACAAAGAGCTGGGCTCAGTTCTTTCTTCGCTCTCAGTATAAACAGAATAGACAAACAGACAGTACATACAACAGCAACATGACACAGACAATAACACCGTGTTGGTGATACAATGGTGCAGAGTGCAACACTGCTGGAATAAATTACAGAATAAATAAAGGATGGAGAACTGGTTATTAAATGTACAGTATAAACACAGGAACTTGACAGTATATAGTATTTAGATATATACAGCAAAGTGTATACAGAGTTTGCTTTATGTAGTTAGCAAACTAGCAGCAACAGTCTTAGTTATCAACATGCCTGGAGATGCTGTGTTGCTGCTGAATGAGATCAGCACAGTTGCCTCACTGAGTAAAATTACTGTGTTTCTAGGTCATTCCTGTGCTTCCTTCCTTCTTGTTTTCATTGGTGGAAATCTTCCCACATCCCACCTAAAATCTACACATTGAGCTTCTGGGTGAACAAATCTGCTCTGCATTTTTCCAACTGGTGCAGTCAGAAAACGAGGCTTAAAGTCAGCTTGTCAAAACAGCTTTGTTTTCAAGATTGCTTCATTTTGGTAGAATGTGTCATGTAACCAAGTCAATTCATGCTTTTTTTCTTCCACAGTGCAAAGCTGAAGAGCAACAGGGAAGTTTGCATCAACCCTGAGACCAAATGGCTGCAGCAGTACTTAAAGAATGCCATTAACAAGTAAGAAACCCCCTCTATCTATCTACGAATGGCACGAGCATCACTGACAAAGGCAGAAATGAAATATGGTTCCCTTCTCCTCTAAGTTTAGAGCTTGCAAATAAACCAATGTTAAAAAAAAGTCAATTTCTCAGTTTCCTACTGACAATTAGTCTCTGAAATTGGTGACATGGTTGATGTAAGCCAGTGAGTTATTATCTGTGAAATAATGAGCTTCAAGTAAGACCAGAGATAAATCCACCACTGGTATGTCTGCTTCCTATTTTCTCATAAGCACATCTGAGATAGTCAGCCAAATCAGAGCACTTACGTTAACATTAAAACTTTACACATTATCATCACACATTGCACATCTGTAAAAGAACGCTTCTGGTTGGGGATTAAAAACTATTCATAAAAACTGCAGTAGCTGTTTCACTTTTTAATGGGCTATGCAGTAAATATGTGCCTTTCACATAAAAGGAAAAAAACTGTTCCCAACATGTCTGGTGGTGATTATTGCCAGGCTGCATGCCTGCGTCTTTAAACAGTATAAACACTTAAAGTGCACAATGTGAAAACAAACAATAAAGGAATATCTGAGGGGTTACAAGACATTGTTTATTATTGTAGCGAAGGACTTCTGTGACTGCAGATTTAGGCATTGTCGTAGTTCACTGAAGCTGGCATGTGGCGCAGCAGCAAATAATCTGTCATACACAACAAATATCACCAAATATCAGCCTTTCATATTTAGACTAGTGTCGCTCATGGGCTTCTGCATGTTAACCTCTTAACACGCACCAGATCTTCTCTTAGGCTTGGCGTTAATGCCAGCGACATCCTTATTTTTAATAACCTATAAAAACAAAATGTAGCTATGCTTCTTTAACATGTAGCTAAATGCATCCTAATCCAGCTGGTGGAAGTACGAGAGGTTAAGAGTTGAATATGCATCACACATCATAACTGTCAAACGAAACTTTCCACTTGTTGGCTTAAAAACCTATGATATTATAGCTTTTTTCCACCAGCTGACAATTGACATTTTACATCCACCACTGTTATGGGTTCTGTTTTACTTTTATAGGCATTTTTATACTATATTCAGGAACTTAAAGCACATCAGTAGCCAAGTATATTTCTTAATCAGAAGAACAGCGTTCAGCTCAGCTTACATAATTAAAACCACATATTTCTAATGATCAATTAGTCTTTTAACAAATTTTGCAGTGGGGAGCAAAATGTGCCATTAGATCACCGTGTTTGATGCTAAAAATGAGCCTCTGAACTCCAATCTAAGCATTTCATTAAACAAAAAAACATAAATGATTTATGAATGATTCATTTAATGATTAACCGGTCAATCCAGTAAAGCCAAAAGTTTTGTAAATGGTCTCCCATTGTTCCAACTTCACCTTTAGCCAATGCAAACTGCCTCTGGATTTGCAAGTGATGCTTCCCAGACACCGTAATTTAAGCATGGCAAACACAAGCTTATAAAAGACAAGTGAAAGATCTATGATTATAGTTAGGCATATATAATACTGCACCAGAAGGTTTTACAAACTTCCTGATCTGTCTTCTCTCATCGGACATAATTACATTTCCCTCATATGCACTTTTATATGAAAATGACCAGAAGTGCACACGAGGCATGAGAGTCGTGTTAAGTGTTATTTTATTCTAGAGGTTCTCAAAATAGGCAATAATGAATGGAAAAATCCTTTTTTATACTAATGTGTTCTTACAAACACCAGAAACAGCCAAAAGATTTAAGCTGAAAGAACATAAAGTGAGTTAGATATAAGAAATTCTGTGCTTATACGAATGTGCCTTGTATGAGCGCATTTGTTCATATATCCCCATAAAATGAAACCAAAAATTGATCTCCTTTCAAGAGCCTATATTAAACAAATTGAAGATATAATGTTTAGTTACAAAACTTACATTCATATATCATGCTCTCCGAAAAAGGTCAAAAACAACTCGCTCATCCTTTATACCAGTGATGCACAGCTCATTCCAAGAGAAGATGAATTTCAAATGACTAAAGTCACATAAAACTAGATAACATGTTTTTAACCTGTGGCTCAACAATAACCCGTTATTTGTTCTCATGGATTTTTAAATGTAAATATGTAAATATAACTGTGACAGCTAAAACGAAGTTGTTTTCAGTTACATAAACTCATCTTAATAACTTCTGAATCTTTCTCCAGGGTGAAGAAATCTAGAAGACGCGCTAATAAGATCAACTAAAACACAAAGGGAGTCCTGTATGTCATCCAGCCTGGTATTCCCAGGCTGAACCTCTGTACCTCCCTGTCACTGCTATGGATGTATGCACACACGCTGTATGTACCCGTCCAACTCTCTGGACAGCTTGCAGAAGCTGCACTCCATCCCCAGCACCATCCACCGATCCCTCGGGACGTCCAGTTGTTTCACATTCACCTTATCCGGCAACAAATCTTAGCACCAAGTGCAATCTCACCTTGACGGACACATGTTGATGTCAAAAATATGTGCTGAGTACTGAGTGAATGGCATGGGAGAGTGTGTGTGTGTTTGAATGTTGCATACATGAACTCTGATTGTGTGCCTGTATATAATATTTTCTTGCTTCACACAGCTATAGAGGAACAATTCTACCTTTCTGTCTCGTGCAAGGCTTTGTGAGTAATGCCACCATCATTTCAAGTCAGATTAATTTTTAATAAAAGCTGCTGACTGAGGAAAAAACATTCACATCAGCTTCCTTGGAAAAAATGCTCTTGGGACTTTGTTGCCAGTTCCTGCCCTTTTATATCAAAAAATGTGGTTTGGAAAAATGCAGACGTGTCAAATTTGAAAACATCAAAAGAAATGTTTCCACATCAAATTGATATCATATCCTTCTGCTCAGAATGATATGATTTATTATTCTAGTTTTAATATATACATTACTCAAAGAAGAATTTTGGATGTAGGCTTTCCACACATAAATGTAGAAGGCTTGTTGTGATTTGAAGTGAAAGTGGCATTACTCTGAGAGTGAAGGCTCATGGGATATATTCAGGGGCTGGCAATTGGGGGAAACCATCCACAAGCTTTTGTTAACTGTAACACGCAGAGCTCGCTAGCACAGGTCTAGTTGGTTTTGAGCTTGGTGCAGGAATAGAGAGGAAGCTCACAGAAACTACTAAAAAGCACGCACTGATCCAATGGTGCTATATGTTCAGTTTAAGGAGTCAGAGCCATTGACATAACTGTGTTTTTAGTGATGATTTTATGCAAGATGGGATGTCGAGACTCTCGGTGTCTTAAATGGAATGCAATATGTTTTGAAATAAAGGCTCAAAGGACTGTTGTTGGAAGTGAAAAATGAAAATGAAGTCGATTCTAAGCTGACGTTAAGGCCACACTGTACTGATAAAGACTGTAAAGAAATAAAACACTAATCAGTGCATCCCAAAAAGTTGGTCCTGTTCATCTGGACGTCTGAAGAAGTCACTTGGGTGAGTGACGAAACGTTTCCCCCACTGAAAACAGATGAACAGACTCAACTTTTTGGGATTTCCTTATCTGGATGACCGAGCATGGATGAAAACACCAATCAGTGCAGCTTTTTGTTTTTTAGCCAATTGATCTTATTGGTTAAGAGAGACCAAATATTTATGCACCACCAAGAAGCAGATGAATTCAATTTCATGGATTTTAGGTAAAATAGGTAGGACGTCGTTACAATTCAGGATAGTTTTACACTTTGTAAAAAGGACCAACAGAAGAAGTTAGATGCAGTGTTTTCATACCAGCACCTGTCCTTAGTAGGAATGAAAAGCTACTACATTGTCCAAATAGCTGAAAGATAAATGCCTGAAAAGGAATGCTCACGGTGGCAAAAGAACATTTTTAATTATCAGTTATTTTATATATATGTGAACCACTTTATGTTTTTTTTAATGTAATTGTTTTATTTTTATATTGAAGATAATCTTACAAAATGTTTTTTTTAATGAAATGTACAACAGGCAGAAGCTACTAAATGAAGGCCGTTCATTAAAGTGCTAGAAACAGTATCTGACTTCATTTTTGAGGATTCATTCAATATTTCACATATATGTAAAAGTCTGTAAGTATGTTATGCACAGTATGCGACACATATATTAATATTGCTTGCATTTTTTTTAGAATACAGAAATGCTGAGCAACTTAAATGTTGCTGTCTTGAGTTTATTGATATTGTTTGCTTATCAGCTGCAGAGCGCGTGAGCGGAATAAAACCCAATCCAGCCTGCAGTGATAGAAAACAAAAGCCACAAGTCAGGAAACTATTCAGCTCAGCCCACCATTTGTCCCCATCAGCCTCATGATTTAGTTTTTTATAGTTTTACTTAAGTTGATATATGATGTGTCAAAAGAACTGCTGAGCCAAAACAGAATAAAGACTAAGAGTTTAGATCAGCCAGCATGTGCTTTCAATCTGGACACTCCCAGCACCCCACAGGCTTTCTTTTCAGGTTCACTCGACTGCTCCCATGCCGCAAAATTGCTTTGTTTTGTTTTGGGTCCCCCCCCCTCCCCACAAATTGCTATGGAAGTCCAAGTGCTTGTGGTCATTGTTATCGTCTATCATCTTTTGTGTTTTATGGTCTATTTACTGACTGACAGGTTACTGGTGGTAATCTTATCAATTTGGAGCTAATGGTGCAACAATCCTGTAAGTGTAATTCATTTCTCATTACTCTAATGGCCAAGAATCTTATATAATTATACTAATTTGCGTAAACACCATTGCTCAATAAAACTGTGATGTTTTCCAAACACACTGATATGAAAAGATAAAGGTTAGTGTGTTAAACCACAACCCAGTCCATAATTAGTAGATTAAATATTTCTGTAAAAAAAAAAAGTCCAGATTTTTCATTTATAATGTGATTATTATCTAAATAGCAGGACTAACTTTTTTAAACTAATAAGAAATATGTTAAACAAACTTTCAACAGCATATGCTCTACGTCACTCACGATTTACCTTATTAAGATTCATGTAATGTAATAAGTATTTAGTTATATTAAATAGACTTTAAGTGCTGTTAAGTTAGTCCCGTGGCCCCTGTGGAAACTTGACACCTGTGCAGTGTCAGAGCCACTCTCGCTAACCCATCAACAGAGCGTAATTTGTGGGATCAAATATATATCAGGCAAAGCTGTGTTCCAACACAGTCATCACTGTGCAATTATATTTTTCAAAGAAGGTTTTTGTTTCTTTGTATTTAGACCAAATATATATTCAGGGTCACATTTACTTGCCATTAGTGTGTTACTAAAATAACTGAAGTGTGTTTCAATTAGGTCCCCAAGACAATGTGAAATGACTTCATTTCTTTTGAGGCAGCTTCTGACACATGTTCTTCTATACACAAGACGTATTAGAGTATTACTCTGTATTTTCACTGATTGTAAACCAAGAGGCAGTATTTTAGCTTTTATATCAACCCTTTTTTTCAATAAACCTATATAAACTAAAGTGCTGTTATACGTGTATTTCTCATCAACAGTGATTCTTTGTATTTATTGTTCATTTAAAGCTGCATTATGTCATTTCTGAACAATGGTGAGGTGGAGCTGGAGCCATATTAGAGCTGAGATTGTGTCCCCACAGATAAAGCTTGGCATTCACTCGTCTTTTAGGCTGTTTCACCTCTATTAGGCAGCTTGTTCAATGCGGGACTGATGCACTGCTCTTCTGCCTCACCCAACAATCCACCTCTGTTAAAAGTACTGAGATGGATTGCGGGGCATTGTTGTTGCAGCTTTAAGCCTGCAGAGCTGAACTGATGTCTGTATGAAAGGGACAGCTGGTGTGACAGGTCTCACCACACTAGTCACCAGCAAGACCTCTGATGGATCTGAAAACAATTCAGCCAGAACCAGCGCTGTGATGTTTTTGTCTGGTGCAAAATGAACGAGCAAAGTGAAATATGAAAGTTATTTCAACAAAAAATATTATTACATGGTTGCTTCAGGATGGAGGTTTACAAAAGAACAAAGAGCTTGGAGTTGTAGAGTAAATAAATGAATGTCACTTCAATACCGTTAGGGTTTAAAAACCAAATGATAATCAGAAACTCCAGTGTAAAATGGGAAAACACAATGATGTGAAAAAACAGATATCATAACCAAAAAGATCAAATGTTTGCAGTTAAATTATGTATGATGATTATCCATGAGTCTACTGAAAAGTTGTTTAACCTCTGAACACATGACTAATTTTGTAGATGTTGCCTACAAACTATGAAGCATTTCTGTTTCTCTGTTTTAAATAGACAATATAAGTAATCATAGCAACATAAAACATTATGAAAACATATACTGTGCAAAAACCCCAACAACAGTGTGACATTATTGCAGTGCAAACAAATACAGTCTGAGTTTAGTCCTGTAAAATCTCATTTTAATCTAATGGTGTCAATTTCCAGCGGGCAGGAGATAAAGAAGTTGTTGGGTTAATTTTTAATTTTGCTGACTGGTTGAATGTGTGCATTAGATACATTAACTTAATCGGTAGAAGGTCAGAACCAGTTATACTCCACTTTTCTCTTATGCCCGATTTAGACTTCTGCAGGGAACCTTTGAAGAGTTTGTGACATAACCCAGATAAGTAGCCAATGTCATTACCCAGAGTTATACTTCCATGTGGTTGTTAAATAGTGTGGTCATGTACCGAGGTTTCATAAGCAGATAAACTGAAATGCTGGGACATCTCTTTTTCCCTCCTGACGCCCTCACTCTTTGCTATGGTCAGTTTTTGTTTGTTTTTGTTGTTTTTTTGTAGGCAAACATATTTGTCCCTCAGGTTTTTCCACTTCTTCATACATTCCCTCACATCCAGTTTGGTAGTTGCTACAATGTGCCTCCGGGAAGCTGCTGACATTTGTGAATTCTTACATTTACGCAGTGATTATTAATCTTTATGATGAGGCGAGGATCGTTATTCTTTCACAGATAAATTAAAAAGTAAGTGAAAGTAAGTGAAAAAGTAGCTGCAAATGCACAGGAGTGATCGACAGCACTGAGCAGGCCAATCAAAATAGCTGGCTGCGGTAACCCAACGTGTAGTTACATTTCTTCTGAGGTGCATCTCAGGTTAAGTGGAAGGTTACGGCGTAAGGTCCAAATGGATTTCTAGTTACCCTGTTACTTAAGAGGTAGACTCCTGCAGAAGTCTAAATCAGGCATTAGCGTGGCTGTCTGATGGCTGACGATGCTCCATTTTCAGTTGCTTTAAATGTCTAAAGTATCTGAAGTATGTCAGGAAAATAGGTTCTGACTGAGATGTAATTGCAGGCGTTCACATTTGCCCTTCTCCATATGTCTAAACCTAGTTGACTAACAAATTAAAAATACATATTACTTGTTGTTCTTAGAGTATTTAAAAGTAGAAAGGGAGGCAGAGACTTCGGCTTTTAGGACCCCTCTTGTGTTGTGTGTATTAACTGTATTGTTAACTGGTAATTATGAGACAGTGCATTTCAAGTCATTTTATGGAGTAATGGAACGAGTAGAGTAACAAATTGCTTTCTCCGGCGAGTATTTAAGTAATATACCACATTATTTTAAAGATTTTAAGTCCTGCCTTTCCCTCTTCATCCCAACAGGGCGTGGCAGATGGCCGCCCCTCTCTGAGTCTGGTTCGCCTGAGGTTTCATGCTGTTAAACAGGAGTTTTTCCTTCCCACTGTCACCAAGTGCTTTCTCACAGGGGGTTGTCTGATTGTTGGGGTTTGCTCTGTGCTATTGTAGGATCTTTACCTTTTAACATAAAGCACCTTAAGGTGGCTGTTGCTGTGATTAGGTATTATATAAATACAATAAATTGAACTGAATAAAATTTACCGAGTCCTGCATCTGGCAACCCGTCCTGCCTCTTCTCAACAACTGTCATAAGTAGTTACTTACCCTGTTTGATGCTAATATTAAACAGCAGCACCACACCTGAGACAGGTGGAATAAGATGAACCACAGACCACGTAAATCATCTCTCAGTGGAAAAAAATGAACTCTAGAGACCAGGCTTCCTGTTGCAGGTCCACAATTTAACCCGCTCAAATGGAAAAGCAAAACCAGAACGGCACACAAACAGCCTTGCATTGCCTAGAACAACCACTTTTAGTCTCAATGAATAATGCAAAGGGACTATCATTTAGCATTTTCCACCTTACAACTGAAAAATGCTCTGCAAATTTGGATAGCGATAAAGAGGAACACGGCGCATGTAATGCCCATTAGCATCCCGGTCTGATATTTTAATACCTGAGGTTTCAGAAGTATTCTTTTGTGCTGGTTCATAACTCGTTTGCAGCACCAGGGAGCCCGTGTAACTTTAAAAAGCTGTCAGCTCTAATAAAGTGGAACCACGTAGAGCGGATTAATTTCACGGTGCAGCTCTCGCCTCTGACCTCTGCGTAGATACACATGAGGAACATGAGACATGGTTTGGACATGGACCAAGCAGTTTAGAGGGTCATAGTTACATGTTTGGGCCTTTTGGGCACATTCAGAAATGATTATGGGATTTTTATACTGTGCTTACTCAGCTGAGACCCTGGCACAATGGAGGTGGTTGACATATAAACAGAGTTTTTTATAAAGATGTATTGGTCTCATTCAACCCAGCTAAAGAATTTGACAGGGTTTTTACACCAAGAAAAAAAATCTAACTAAACGTTAAGCGGCCTCAGGTCAGCGTGTGAGATATTTTTAATAAAGTTAGATAAAACATTAGTAGCCAGTTGTGACTCATAAAATGTGTCCAGCGGGATAATTAAATTCTGAATCAGACATGCGTTGTCCAACCAAGAACAATAAAAGCACAGATTGATGGAGAGACATAGCAACAGATGAAGCAGTAGAGTAAATGTTGACTCAAATGGTTCAGGGAAAAGTGGACCTCACATACAGTTCAAGGAGGCACTGTAGGATTTTTTGACATAGTGAACAAGACACGACGAACCAATTAAACCAATTAAAACTGTATATAACATCTGTAGGAACTGTTTTGACAAAAGATTTTTGCACTTATTTGTACCTGCTTCTCTACCATTCTCTTGTTTCACTGCACCTTGTGGAGGGATATTAATCCGACACTGCTGTTTGTTTTTGATAATGCTGACGTATGCTTCTATTCCTTTACTGCATTTGCAGTAAATATGATGTTCAGTGAAACACCTAAAATGTAAAATATTGTCTTCTGTAAATATCACGACCCTCGCACAGCAGCAAGCACATTAAAAACAGCACCCAGCATACAACAGCCTTCAACTCAAATCACCTCAGACAGAAAACATAACCAGGCTCGACAACAAATTGCTCGGCTGATTTGGTTTCGGAGGTTGCAGGTAATCCAGCGTGATTTGAGGTTCTCATCTATTCATCTTTGAACAACTTAATACCCAACCAGCCAAGCTGGAGTTAATAGGAAACACGTTGGCTATAAATCCACTAGAGTGTGTGTGTGTGTGTGTGTGTGTGTGTGTGTGTGTGTGTGTGTGTGTGTGTGTGTGTGTGTGTGTGTGTGTGTGTGTGTGTGTGCATGTGCTGCTGTATGAAAATGAGACGTCATGGACGTCGTGCTGAAAGATCCAGTAAACATGCAGCACTGACTAATTAGCACATTTAGAGGCTAAATGCAATATACATCCAAATAAACACAAACATGAATGTGTGCGCTTTGATGTGCAAATGTAACTAAATATAGTGACCATAGAAATACATAAATGTGCTTTTCACTTTCTTCTCAGTAGTTAAACTTAAAAGTATATAAATAAAAAATGCTTCTCTGGTATCTGTGTGATAAATGGAAAACTGAGGGGGACAGTTAGCGTAATTGGGCTTAGTGTGAAGTTAGCAATCGGAGGAAACTTGGCTGCATTCACATTCAAAAGTTTATTTTATTTTATTGGAAGCTATGTGCTGGACAGGTGCAGTGACTAATATTAGTCTTGTTATCATCTTTGACTTGAAAGGAAACCAGTGGAGCCCCGTTAGCGTCATAGGTGTTTTTTATAGATGTTTTTTAGATGGTTCTTTCCTCCTTCCACCCTGTTACTATGCATCCCAACTGTCGTCTCGGAAAATCACATTAGCTGTAGCATTTTGCAAAACATCAACAGCTTTCAACCACAACTAATCAACATCAAAACCTGATGTTAAAGTGCTGAATGATGTGATTTGTAGATGCGACGGTTCCTTAGAGTGATGAGGAAGGCTTACAGTTAAGCAGTCAGGTTTTCTCATGACTGTATCTAAGTCAGTCTTCATCAGAAAATGTTTTTTATTTTAAAAAAAAAAAAAGTTTAGCATTAAATATACATCATTCCATGCAAAGCAACAGTACACCGCACACTCATGTGATTCCTTGGTAACCTGTGCTTGACTGCCTCGAGTAACTGATTGTGTCGCGACCCCCTCGACGTCGCGCAAGCCTTAGTTACCCCCTACAGACAATCAGCTCCAGGCCTAAAATGCA